ATGTTCTTCCGCGAAAACTAAAATCTAATCGAGGCGGGGGATGGCGAGAAAAGAGATGGAAATATTAATGCTATAAGAAAAAATAATCAAAAACAAAGAGGAAAATCAAAAAGCTTATTGAGTATATATAAATAAATTAATTATTTAAAATTCTTAATAAAGTATTTACAGTATATATAAGATATCTTATCATATGGCTGAGTCTGTTTTCGCCATTCGATTGGTCAATTTGCAGTCCGTAACTTGCTATACGGACCAAAATTGTTAAAGAAAATGCTCATTTCGGAGCTCTAAATCTCTTTACCCCGGAAAAAAGGTTTAAATAAAGTTATAAGACGCCTGTCAACCTTGAGGACTTGGATGTTGACTTTGGCCTTCAACATTTTAACCTGTGTTTATTTGTGAACGAAGGCGATGAAGAAACTAAATCGTAATCTTATGGAAGAGGATTCTAGTCAGTGTTTGAAAATTTTATCGCAGTACACAGTTAAGAAGACGAAAATAGACTGGCAGAGATTCGAGATGTTTTGCATAAGAGAAATTGAGTAATTCCTTGGACAAATATGATAACAAACATACCTGCACCCGATCATCTTGACAAGCTTCTTTGCCATTGCCGTGTTTTTTCAAAGACCAACGAGAGAAAGATAGAAGCGAATTCGAGCCAGACACAATGTCCAGAGACTCCAGCGTCACACTAACGAGTGAATACTTACAGTGCTCTTAGTTTTGACCGAATAAACTTTAAAATATGTCTGTAAACCCTGAGGACTGGGATGTTGACTTTGGCTTTCCAAATTTTAACCTAGCTTTGTTTTAATGAGAACAAAGCTGATGTACAAACTGAATCGTAACCTTACCGAGGAAGAGAATTTTACTCATTGTTTGAAAATTTTAACGGCAGATCACAATTGAAGACGAGAATGAACTGGTAGAAAGAGGAGTTTTCCCAAAAACAATTAAGGAGCGAATCCTTCGACAATGACAACAAACTTACCATGAAAAGCTTCTTTGCCTTTTGCAGTGTTTTTTACAAGGACAAACGGAGGAAAGATGGAAACGACTTCTAGGCAGACACAGTGTTCGGTTTACAAAATACTCCAGCGTTACATTAAAGAGCTAAAACTTACAGTGCTCTTAGTTTTGACCGTTTTCAACATGGCGAATTTGTTTTTACTTTCTCGGAAAGCCTTTGTTATGTGCTATTGTTTTTGTGTGCCAATAAAAACTTTCTTTTTTGACGCCTGTCAAATGACTGTCAAATCGTACGTCTTGCACTTGTTTCCGGTCCCCCAAACAGGAAGAAGCCATATAATAAACATCTTATTAGTCTCGTTTTTTCCATCCGCTTGGGCCATAAATCGATGGAAAAAAACTCGGTCCGTAATTTACAGTACGGACCGAAAACTCGGCTAATAAGAGATATATATTAGTTTAAAATAAAACTCGTGTTTATCAGACTCTATGAACATTGTAAAATCGTTTTTTACGGATATGTTTTCAAAAAGACAATTATTTCTACGCTTAATGCGTAAGCTTCAAAAGAAATACTTGCATAGGCACTGCGATCGTGACAGCGACTCTTAAGTACTGGCACAACTACAAAAAAAAAAAAACAAACAAACTGGAATACTACCGCTGTCAACCACACTTTTTCCTCTTGGCTACATTTCGTCGTTTAGACCATGATTACCTCAAAGCTACTGTGTTTTGTCCTTACAAGAGCGACGAAAAAAACTGTCGAAAACTTAGTCGATTCGCCTGACAGTCTCCTGCAAGCAATTTTGCCTTTGCCACTTCGCTTTGTCTCGTGATGTTGTAAAGTGAACCCAAAAAGGCGATGTTTCAAGTTACCAAACGTTATTCTGAATGGGAAAACCTAAGAAATTATAATAATGCGTAAATTAGACGCGTGTAATTTTTTCTCCTTTGCAAGGATTGTAAGCAAACTCGCTAATTGCCCGCAAGCGTGCATGCAACAGTTAGCGGTAGTCAATACAGTGCATGAGTAACCCCTTGTTCTTATAGAATCCTGATTTTACAAGAAAAAATGCGCGCCTGGGAACTTGTGAAGTCTCGAAGCATCTTACAAGAATACAAGTCCGGCGATCCCCTATGTTTATTGCTTTAATAGCGGAGCTTTAGCACGCGAAGCGCGCCAGCGGAGCACCATGGGTAAGAAAATGAAGTAATCTACCCATCCGAGAAAATTTGGTAGTCACGTGACCGTACACCGACCGCCCGCCCGAGAGACCGTCCGTCCGCACCACAGACATACCAATGTAAAATAACTCTATCAACAGGTATGGCAACCCAAATGCAACTCTAGGTTATTTTGGCGGGAATTCACGTAGCCACCCGCGTCCTGTAAAGCAGAGACAACAAAAGAGTCAATAAAGACGAAAACGAAAAGCGGAAATTGTTTCTGTATCCGTGTTGTCTAAAGTATTGAGCTTGGATAATTTGTCATGTCCACAAATTTGGAATACTTAACAATTATTCCTCGAGCCCGAATGGGCTCTGAGTTAATAGCCCATGAGGCCGAAGGTCTGATGGGCTATTGACTCAGACGCTATGAGGGCGAGAGGAAAAATTGTTTTAGTAAAATCCAACTAGTTTGTCAAAAATATTGAGAATAAAAAAAATTTAGCTAGTTAAAAGCTAGACTTCAATACTTTTTTGCCGCCAAAAAGCCCGCGCTTTTCGCTACTAGTAGGCTATAACAGATAGCCTAGTAGTAGCTCAACCAATCAGAACGCAGCATTGATAATAGACCACTAGTTAGATTTTACTAAAGAGCAAGAGAAAGACAGAGAAAAAGAGAAAGTTGGCGGCGGGAGAGCGAATCTCAACGAGAAAAAGGGCGACAGAGATTTAGAGCAGAGATACAAAAACAAAGGAGACATTTTTTTTGTTGGAAGAACAACATGGAAATTTTGCATCGGCGCTGACAAAATGAGAAATGCTAGCGGCCTCCAATGCAAGGTGAAAATGAGCGGCAGTGAATAAAAGTGAACGAGAACGCGTACCACATATCCTCCATAAAACGTGTAACTAAGAAGTTTCTGGAAGTTTCACTTTGTAGTCGTGCAAAACTACGGCAAAGAAATGTACAAATAAGACTGCTGCACGTGCAAAGTTGCTTTTTTGCTAATTAGACCTACTGTTGTTTTTCACCGCTTCCTGCGTAAGGAAATTTCCACTGCACAAAATGTCCTATTTTCCACTTTTGCAAAAAAATCCTCTCCGTAGAATTTTTTTAAAAATCACCGGGCATTATTTTCATTTTACGTCATACCAAAAGTTGTCGTCCAAAAAAAAAAAAAGGTCCACCGGCTTAGATTTGTAGTTATCTGTGCTGCAAGCTAAAAAGGAGGTCCAAATAATCCTTAAGATACGTTGCCATGGTAACTGCTACTAACGAAATAACAGTTATTTTAAGCATTTATTGTATAATCCAACTCAACAAAGTGCTACTTTGGCTTTGCCTTGCTTTTTTTGCTATGTCTCGTCAGGCATGAAGTTAGCTGGTGATCCATTGGACTTGGGACACACCAGGTACTGATACTATAAAGGTTAGCTAATAATAATAATTAAAATAATAATAATGAGACATTTATAAGGCGCCCTTTCCTAGGGTCCAAAGGTGCTATTTATAAGTTTAAAAAATTTAAAACTACTTACGGTAAAAGTTAAAATTTAAAAACCGCAATAAAAACACTACAAAAACTAAAGATAAAATAATTTGAGATACAAAAACACCACAGTCAAGCTAATCAAGTTTGGGTTACTGATAACCGTGGTTATGTAAAATCGAGTTTTACCGAGGTATTCCTGCTGGATCAGATGAAAAAGTTCCCATCTTTTTTCCCATCTCTTTCCAATTTTAACCACCTACCAACAGTTTATAATAATGACTATAGATAGAACAAATTATTAAATTAAAGCTCGCCACAAATTTGCTTAAAAACAAAAAGTCGCAATCAGTACCAAATGGAAATAATCACATTCGTAATGAAACCGAAACCCACTTGCGTGTCACAATAAAAGAGACATGACAAGTAAAACAAGAAGCTTACGCAAACTTACAAAAATGCTTCTCCAATACCTTCTATAATCTACGAAAATATAAAGCCCAATACACAAAAGGTGCTTTATTGCTTCAGTAACTACTAGATGAAAAGACAACAACAAGAAAAAACCAAAACCACACATTTTGGGTTTTTATACTTGCAATTTTTCTTATAGACCTTTACTGACCCTCAATCACAAGACGGATCCGCGGTTATTTAGGCATGTTTTCACGGTGAAATAAGTCATATCTATCTTGTCTCACGGATCTACATAATTCATCACCATGAACGTTTAAAACGTGCCGTGTAGTAGAGTAATGTCGATAATTAATTTGTAACAGATCAGGCCAAAATTTAAAGGAATAGCATGACGTAACTCTAGATTTTAAAAAGATAAATTTTAGATTCGCAGAAGCAGACATTTTAAGAGATGCTTGTTCTTTGGGGACAAATCTTCTCTCCCCAACATACAAACGTCTGGAAGATTTCTGTTGACGTGATTTTTTCGCAAAGTTTGCCGTCTCTTCTGCTACAGTTTAATAGGTGCTTTCCCCATTCGCTTCTAATTATATTGATTTCATAATTCCGTTCTTAATCAACAACTGCATGAAGCTGAAACAAGAGAACACCAATCCGTTCTTGTATATCATGTTATATAATCCGACTTTAGCCGACTCTCAATTAAACAAACAGGACCTGTCAGCAGTTATTTTTAAATGCTTTCGAAGCGTGAAATTCATTACACTTTTCCTTTTGCTTACAGTGGTGGACTCATCAAATCAAAGAAACTTTACTGAAATAGTCTAACAGACACAACAATACACAGTACACAATACACTTGACATTATTGCGTTTTGCACTCCAGCAGTACAGCATCAAGGTCAGGAAACTTAATCAATCAGTCACTTACAGATCCGATACAGCATCATGGCGTGTATTTGCTCTTTTATTTTGTTGCTGTATTTCGCCTTTGCTGGGTCTCTTGCGACGACATACGAAGACTTCAAATACGGCAAATTTCCTGATGATTTCCTGTGGGGAGCTGCCACATCGGCATATCAAGTGGAGGGAGCTTGGAATGAAGACGGAAAAGGACCAAGTATTTATGATTTTTTGACCCACACCGTACCTAATAAATTCCGCAACAAAACGGGAGATGTGGCGTGCGATAGTTACCACAAGTACAAAGAGGATGTAAACATTTTGAAGAACTACGGAGCTAAAGCTTATCGTTTTTCTATCTCATGGAGTCGTGTCCTCCCTCACGGAACAACAGATCACGTGAACCAACTTGGCGTCGACTACTACAACAATTTAATCGACGAACTCAAGAAGAATAATATCGAACCGCTCGTCACACTTTATCATTGGGATCTACCAGACGTTTTCCGATCGATTGGTGGCTGGACCAATCGAAGTATGGTCGACTACTTCGATAACTACGCTCAATTCTGTTTCGACAAATTCGGGAGTAAAGTGAAATACTGGATCACTCTGAACGAGCCGGCGATCGTTATGTTACGTCATCCCTTTTACATGTTTGGATACATATCGAATAAAACCAAGCTATCGACTCTACGATATCGCACGGCTTACAACCAAATACTTGGCCATGCCAAAGCGTATCAGACCTACAAGGAGAATTTCTATGAAAAGCAGGGTGGATATATAATGCTTGCTTTAAGCTCAGGGTGGGCTGTCCCAAAAACTGACTCGATCCAGGACATGGCCGCTGCAGACAGGTACATGCAGTTTCATCTTGGCATCTTTGCGCATCCTATATTTGTGAATGGTGATTACCCTGATGTTGTTAAAAGCATTGTGGGTAACCGTAGTGAGGCTGCTGGGATTGCAAGCCGCCTGCCTAACTTCACTGAGGAAGAGAAAATTATGATCAAAGGAAGTTACGATTTGTTTGGCCTGAATCATTACTCCACCGACAAAGTGGCTGACAGACCCTCAGGAGACGAACAATCGTTTAATGCCGACGAGGCTTTCAAAAAGAGTGGCGACCCTGCGTGGCCAGATTGGGTCAACGGTCACGTGGCTCCATTTGGATTCCGTAAGCTGTTGAAATACATAAAAGACAATTACAACGACCCAACCGTTATCGTAACGGAGAATGGAGTTTCACCTCCTACAGAAGCGAGTAAAACAGGTGAAAAGAGGTTGGATGACGCTTTCAGAGTGGACTACCATAAGAGGTAAATACCGTGTTTATTTGATTAAAAGCCACGGCTTTTAGTTGAATACTAATTGTTTCAGATGCGGCGTTTATTAATATTCAAGGCGCCGTTTATTTCAAAATCACATTTCTTAAGTCACTGACAACAATTACGATAATTCAATTGTAAATACAGTGAACTCTCGCCTTGCAGACACCCCGATAAAACGGACAGTAGCTAAACCCCCGGCAAAAGCAAATTAGAAACGTTTGACAGAAATAAACGCCCCCTATTACGGACTCCCGCTAAAAAGAACAGTAACTTGAGGTCCCTACAGTATCCGTCATAAAGGGAGTTGACTGTATTATGTAAAACATAAATATGTTTTCAGTTCTTATGTCTCACTTTTTGCTGAGAGAGAATCGTAATAATTATCTGAGTAGTAGTGTACACTACAAAGTTGCACCATTTTTCTTATTATCCTCGAATAAACGCCGCATAATTCTGCTAATTGGGTGCGGCGTTTATTCGAGAGCGGCTTCTATTCGATGGCGGGGTTTAATGGAGTGAAAACGGTAATTAACGTACAAATATACAAATAATTGTGTACCTGAAAGGTAAACGAGTGCTACCGTAATGTTTCTCGCGTTCAGATAGCGCGCGCAATTAGAATACTTAATGTGTAGCTTTTGTGACGCAATTTGTTCGCCAAGTCGTCAGAAGTTTTACTCGGGTTTATGAGAACACTTTCTTCAAGAATTATTATGGAATGATAGTTTAGTAAAACCACAGGCGTAGAAGACAATGAAAAAAAAAAAACAAAAAACAAAAAAAAACACGATTTTAAAAGAATTTCGAAAGAAACACATATTACATTCTTAGAGAGTTTTCGAGACTACGAAAGCTTCAGACATATAACGTAACATCATCGGCAGTGTGAAGATATCTTGGCTAATATATATGTCAGGAAAGAGAAATTCATCACAGACACGTTACAAGAGAGGATTTCAAGCAACGAACTAAATGCAACAGTTGGTGTATGAAAGCAATGCGTGTGCAAGTAATAGTGGTAAAAATCCGGTACTTTGTGGTTAAAAATCCAGATGCATCGTGGGTAGGAATCCGAAATTTTTGTCCCTGTACAGATTAGATCTACTGCTTTGCTTGCTCGCTTCAGGCTCACTCGCGCGGCAGCAATTAGGTTGAATTAGGACATTTATCACGGATTTTGTTACTTAGTCAAAAAGACAGGCTTCTTGACAGCTGTAACAGCTCCTCTTAGCGCCCCATAGTTTAGGTAACAGCGGCTACTTCCGTTAGAGGAGAACTTGGTAAAATCACAGCCTTTTAAAACACATTGAAGTCAATAGTTTTCCTTGATCACGATCATGGGTGTTCTCATCTATTTATTGCATATTTCTGGATTTATTGCAGATATACTAATGAGATGTTGAAAGCGATCACCGATGACGGCGTTAAAGTGAAAGGTTACATGGCGTGGACGTTGATGGATAACTTCGAGTGGGGATCTGCTTATTCCACTCCGTACGGGATACATTTTGTCGACTTTGAAAACAACCCTAGCCTCACCCGTGTTCCCAAGAAGTCAGCCAAGTTCTTCAAGCAGCTAATAGCAGACAATGGGTTTCCTAAACCAGTTTTAAAGTCCAGAAGTTTGAAGATGCTTACTAATGATGCTTTGCTTTTCACCTTTGCTGTCGCCTTGATATATACCTGAAACCTTCTAACCATAGGGTATTGATAGTAACTGGGAGGAGGAGTGGAGTAAGACTCCCCTGTGGAAAAGGTGAGGATAACTCCTCTTCCCATTTACGGGTCTTGTTTACCGGTGATAAATTGTAACTTTTTGCACTACTTGGCATCAATTAGCCCTATTCACATCGCTAAACGGTTAAACAACTCAAAGGCAAAGAGCATTAACTGGAAGGGACCGCAATCGAGTATGCCGCAGAACTATTATCTGAAGTTGACCTGAATCAGTTCAACACCTGATCACCAGAAATATACCATGTGGGCATATTGAAATCTGCAAAGTTGATCGCACTGCTTGAAAATTAACTGTAAAGTGCTTATTTGTGTTATTTTTTCATGTCAAGCACAAAAAATTGCTATTTTTTCAAACTTGATTTCTACTTCATAGTAAAATCAAAGATGGCGACCATTGTTGGTGACGTCACAGGCCTTCAACAGCGCCATCACCCAAAAATGTACCTCATGTTGTTGAAAAGATCAAAGGCTTTATACTGAAGGCAAAAGCGTTCCGAAACACTACAACATATCAATAACTGTTGGTAGGTTTTCCAGCGTCAACCCCGGAAAACCAACCAATCGATCATTTTGAAAATCAATGAATCTTTACTTAAACATGGAATCCCATTATAAAAACGCTCTTCTAGAGAGCCGTGCAAAAACCATGCAGTAAAACAGCATTAGATAAATATAGTTATTTAAATGGTAATAAATTACAAATGTGAGATAAATGACTTCAAGCTTGTCTGTCCTTTAACAATGTTTGCATGATAGACTATTCCGGAGAACCGCCCTTCCATGTTGTAAGCTGTTTTTCCAGCCTCATTGTAGGGTCTTAGGACAAATAAATTATGTTTTGAGTTTCTTAGATTACAGGACTACATAATGTTACTTCTATTGAAAACTTGAGCCAGATGACCTGGTGCAATGTTATTTTTAATTTATACATTATTGTTGCTAATTTCCCATGTCCCATGAAGACTATCCCACCCGAGTTCATACAGTACCTCAATTGATCGTCTACCGTTACTAGAGGAGGTTACCACCCTGGCAGCCCTGTTTTGGAGGGTCTGAAGACTGTTACACATCCCCTTCCCACAGCTCCCCACACTATACTAGAATAATTGAGATACGGTGGTGCAATGGAGTTGTACATCATAATTAATGTATAATAAGGTATTGGGAAACGTTCTTAGCAATTCTGTCTACAAGATCTGTCCAAGTTAATGATTCATCTATTTCAACACCAAGATATTTATACGTCTCATCCCTAATAAGGGTTTTATAAACGACATGAATATTAACTGGTACTCAAGGTGTTTTTATCCGATATTGACTAGCTACAATCATATATTTTGTCTTTATCACAATTGTCATATTTACAATTCTGCCTGTGATTTACCATTCTGCCTATGATGCCTAAGATATTCGAGCGATATGTTCATCTCGCATTGCACGAGTATCTAAACCAGCTTGGTCTGCTATTCAAATACCAGTCAGGTTTCAGACTGTTTTACTCTTGCGAAACTGCCATGATTGAGCTTGTGGATAGGCTGCTAATGAACATGGACAATGGTCTTTTGACAGGACTATCATTAATCGATTTTCGTAAAGCTTTTTACCTCGTTGACCATGAGGTCCTGCTCAGGAAGCTTGTGGTCTACCAACTATCAGGGGAGTCGATACAGTGGCTCAAGTCCCATCTTGAAGGTCGACTACAGAAAGTTTCCATCAATGGTGTGATGTCCAGCTCCCTTCCCATAACATCAGGGGTTCCACAAGGTCCCCTTCTGGGTCCGCTCTTGTTTATCATTTTCATTAATGGTCTACCTCTAAGTGTAACAAACAAGAGCATGTACACCTATGCCGACGATACCACACAAGTTGTAGCAGGCCATAATGTCACGGAAGTGGCATCGACTTTGGAGGAAGACCTTCGAAACATCAACAAATGGGCAGCAAATAACCGAATGGCGCTGAACACTGAGAAGGCTAAGAGTATACTGATATGCAGCAAGCCTAAACATTCATCACTTGCCAAGAACGGAGCTAAGAGTCTCTAAAAATCACTTTCCAGTATCAAGTTATAGAGAATAGCAGCAGCACCAAACTGCTTGGAATCTATCTTGACAGCAGCCTCACCTGGAACGAACACGTAGAAAAGACCAGAAAGAAAATTTGCAAGAGACTTGGTCTTCACAAGCTTTCAAAACGATTTCTTACATCCCGTGCAAGGGTAAATAAATGTTCTACAATGCTCTTGTGCAGCCTCTGATGGATTACTCTGCCTGGGTATGGGGTGACAGCTGAATTAGTCATTCCAATACCATGCTCCCCTTCAGAAGCGCGCTGTCAGAATACTAATGGATGCTCCCTGGGACGCTCCTTCTACGGCTCTTCTCAGCGAACTTAACATTCTCCCATTTCAAGAGCGAGTGGCAAACTAAAGGCAAAAATGGTTTTTAAGGCATTGAATCGTCTGCTGCCCAGCTACATTGGAGAGAGGTTTTTAAGATTCAGCGCAGTCCATGTCAGGGAAAAGAGAATCAGCAAAAGAAATTTGAAGTTGCCCAGAATTAAACAATCACTTGGACAGTGGTCATTAATGTTCAGTACTGCAAGCTTGTGGAACAGACAGAGGAGACAGAGGAGTTGAAAGACTGCTCTATATACCTTGACGTCTTTCGAAAACAAACCTAAGCGAATTGAAGTTTGCAAATTGTAATGAACCAGGCGGGGGGGAAGAGACGAGGTCTGGGACCGAGAAACGATGTTCTCACAACTTGCAAGGCGGTCACCCTGAGTGAGGGTCAGCGGATAATTGCACTTTTTTTCCCACAGTAAATATTTTTAGACTTTTTAGAAGCAAGAAGCGAACCGGCAGAGGAAATAAGAAATGCTTAAAAAATTGAAAAAAATAATATCATGCATCTTTCTTTTTCTTGCATATCGTATTTGTCTTTCGGTACTGAAATTGCGGGGGAAACTATACGCAGCCGTGTACCAACTACAACGCGCTCGATCAATTTATAGGTTACATCGTTTTTGCAGGGCAATGATAACTTGATGCTGATAAAAATTACTGGAGAAAGTGTCAGATTTATCAGAAGCAAGTATATTCAGAGAGCTTTATAAATATGAGCTTACAGCTGTACATATCATAACTGAATAAACATCCACACTTCATAACATTTCACTTCGTTTATTACGATCAGTCAACACCTTGAATCCTACGTTAAAATTCAAAACGATCCTAATAAACAAATCACAACTTCTACTGAAAGCTCTGTACCTTGAAGCGACTTTAACTTTCCTAAGGTTTGCAGCAAAACACTGCTCAATAGCTCAACTCTTCAGCGATTCTTATTCGCTACACGGAGCTATATGTTGCATATTCCAAACTCTGCGGAGGGAAATTGTTGAACAGAAAAAGAAAACCACACACTATTTCTGAAAAGCGACATAAAATCAATAAAATTGCGAATTACCAAAATATAATAGCGAGAAACAGTCCCGCCTTCGACCGCCATGCTTTTGTTTCTTCTCAAGACCGTTGATTTATGGTTTTGACGTAATGCCCATGAACAGTACACAAATCCGCTGGCAAGAACCTTGCTGATCGCTTTGCAAGTTGTGAGAACATCGTTTGGATTTCATTTAAGAGAATGTATGGGAAGTAGCTCCCCCTGTAATGAACAATCCTTAGCAACTCCTTACTAGTTAGTCTCCTAGTTAATCATAGCGTTTTGATTGATTATTCTGTTTTTATTTTATTTTATTTTATTTTTTTCTGAGGGCCATGTGTAGATTATCGGAAGATGTTAAGTGCTACCCTCACTAAAAAAAAAAGTTTATTATATGTATATTATTATTATTAGGCTAAGTTTATTCGCTAATAGCCATGTATGTAATTCATGTAGATCATGATTCATTTGTTTTCTAGTATGTACTCATCAGAATGTGCAACATTGAAGCTACTATCATCTGCATACATCTGCACTTTAGAGTAGAGGTTACAAGATGGAAGATCATTTATACAAACACTAATAGTAGCTGACCAAGAATAGAACCCTGGGCAATTCCACATTTTATTATGCAGCTATCTGACAGCACACCATCGATAAAAGTTTTCTCTGTTCTATTTGTAAGGTATAAAGCAAACTAATTCAGGCTTGCGTGGCATACACCATATAGTTTTAGTTTGTTCAACAAAATTTTGTGATTCATAGTGTGGACAGCCTTTTAAAGATTTAAGAATATGACAACATTTTATAGGCCTTTATCCATATTTAGGAACCAACCATAAGTCGCATCTAACAAAGCGGTCAGAGCGGAATGTAGGGGTCTGAAGCCTGTCAAGAGATTGACAGTGTGCGGAAAGTAAACCATGCTCTGTCAGATAACCGTAAAGTTGGTTATTCTGGTAATACAAAAACTGGTCTGTAATTACCAGGAATGCACTTCTTGTCATCTTTGTACATCGGTGTCACTCTTGCTAATTTCCAGCCCCTTAGGAAAAATCCAGTTCTGATAGCTATTACTGCGTCTGTCTCTTTTAACAGCATTGCAGAAACGCAATCTTGACCACAAGCTTTATTTTTAGGCAGAGTTTTTAACAAGTTGAGAACCTCGCTAAGCTTTTGACAAAGTCAACGAACCGAGGCCTTGTGGTAAACAAGAAATCTAAGGAACCCTTTTTTGTTTGTCTACTGTCCTTTTTTGAGTGGAGTAACTGGATGGATTTTGTAATTCATCAGTTGCCCCGCACTTGACAAGAGCTGCTCACGAGGAAAACTGATTTCTGGTGCGCCGGGAGCTCCATGTTATATTTTCTGTAATAGACTTTTTTCGGTAATATTACCGTGACAAGAATGCGTGTTTTGGTAAGAGATAAGCACTCGAACTACAGTTATCACTTTGAGACTAATTTTAGGTCATGCATAAATTATGAGCCCGAGTTGAGGAACATTTCCTCAGACTGAATGGAGGTAATTTTACACGCAAAGCCAAGGAAATGGCCTTTTCTGTTAACTATACCTGTTATAAATACAAACCACTAATTAGCACTACTTGGTTAGTTTTCTTGAGCAAGATGTAAAGAGCATATGTTATTACCTTACTGGTAATATTACTGCAAGTAAGTACGTCTGAATATGAATGGTTTCGATCGGTTGACACTGGTAATTCTTAGAGTAACATGCATATGGTAAGAGTTTTATCTCCAGATTGGTTTGGTCCTTTCCATATTGTTTTTGGCCTGTGCTTTAAATATACAGTAGATACCATATTTCCTCGAATAATAGCTGGGACGATTTTCTTTTTCTTTTCTTTTTCACACCAATAGGAGGCGATTATTTTAAAATATTGCTCACTGGAAGTGGAGCCCTAAATATTCTGTTTTATTGTCCCATAAAGTGAAAAAAAATAATCACATCAAATATACTGAATGAACATGGGCTTTCAAAGTATTGAAAATTTGGTTACTTGCTTAATTCTTAATGTCAATAATCTAATTCAAACCTTGAAATGGTTAAACCTTGTTTTGTTGCTAAAGTTACCTTCAAGTGACACATTGCCGATGTTTCTTGGAGAAGGCAAATTTGACTCGAGCTGACCTCCTTCTAAGAAAAGACAGGATTTCTGGCCAACAATTGTTTCCAAATAATTCTGACAATCTTTTTAACTGTGCCTTTTCGAAGTCGCGAGCAACGTTTCAGGCCAGTGTGCTTCAATGCTGGGCATTTTTCAGGGCTTAATTATTGACCAGAAATCCTGTCTTTTCCAACAAGGAGGCCACCTCAATCCAAATTGGCCTCGTCCGGACCCAATCTCGCCTCATTCCTGCCCACCCGTTATCATTCAACGACATCTATCCGCATTTATGAATGCCGCACCAGCTGGCAACTCTAGGCCACACAGCTTAACTTGACTTAAATCAAGCAACTCAGCGTTTACCCATAAGCCTTCCAAGGAGACTCTCTCTTTGGTTCCTGACTAGCAAAGAAACATTCAAGTCCATCAAAAAGACACTCTCAATTTGACCATACACTCTGGCTGCTTTAAGGCTATACATGACAAAGGCAGCTTTAGACTTAAGCAAGCTCTGAGCAAAGCAGAGCACGTGAGTGAGGGGAATCCTTTATTAGGCAATCGGCCAAAAAAATTGAGAGTGTGGCATGACAAACTTTAAGTAGAGAAATGATCAGTGAATTGACTCTCCAGAGAGACTAACGGACAATAGGGCGCTTTTGCAGCACCCCCCTCCTAGGAATTGGCTTGGAGACCCCTTCCGTACCCATGGCAAATTAGCATAGGGACTGAGCTTGACGATGAGACATATCAGGACAGCAAGCCCCCTATGCAAATTCTCACCGCAGGCACCAGAAACAGGAGGCACCAGGTTCTCGTGCGAATATTCTGGGCCTTTTGAGGTACCTTTTTGAAAGAAATTCCGCTAGATATATATCATGTGCGTGTGTGTGTTTGAATCAGGGACGCAAACAACTAACTCAGACAGTTGCCACTGAAGTTACATTTATTAACCTTTGTAGTGACATTGCATTTGGAAACATAATGACTTCCTTAGCTGTGAACTCGCTCGGCCCTCAGTGACTTATTGGAGAAGATAATAAAGCAGGCAAAGCCGACCCAGTCCAGTACTCCAGTAGCTCAGTTGGGGAACTTGTGAAGAAAGGCTCCTTCCCGTTCTGTACCAGGCGAACCAGTTTTTTGACGAGCCAGCTGCGGTTCCATTCAGAGTTCGCCCAATATGTCAACTGAAGCGGGTAGCTGAGTTTACGATACAGCTGTTCGTTCAAGATGTGAACTGAGGCGTGAACTCCGTCGACAATTACGTGATGGTTTTCTGTCAGTGGATGACGCACAGCGCCAAAGTAAGTCATCACATCTAAAGGAAAATTCAAGAAAAAAAGCTTCACCGTTAAAAGGCTATCAGAACGTGAGTTACCCTTGCTGGAATCTGGTTGAACTCACAAGACACTGATCACTATCAAATATCAACTTCTCAACTCTTGGGTTTGCTTCACCCACCTGTAACCTTAGTGGGAACCAGCTTCCCATTATTCATAATCCAAATGGTATCATCGTCTTTCACATCCATAGCCATGATTGGATCTTTAAGAGGCGCATTTTTGGTTGACTGGCCGTTTTTTGTTGCGTAAATGAGATGACGTGCACTGATGCCAATAGACTGGGTCGCGTTGGAATGATCTCTATACACGATGCGAAGAAGTTGGGCGCGAGCGTCTTGCTGCTCATGCTCAATGTAGTAGACTTTGCTGTAAACCCGCTGTCCGGTTTGCTCGTCTACCGACTCAACCATGTCGCCAAGGCTGATAGAGTGGAGTGGCTTGGACACAACACTACCCGTTTTCATCTTGAGATTCACGAGTGACTCTGCTGAAAAGCATCCTCCGCTTCTACCGACCGCTCGAACTACCGAGGCCCCTGATGAGACAGATCTGTTGATAGATAGGGTACGAAGATAGGTTAATTTCATGGCAAGGGACAACTCCAATTCACGTATGAAAGATACAAGAAGTACGACCTGTTAAATCGGTGACACTTGATAATAAGAAATCCATTTAATGAATCTATACCAATCTATAAAATTAGTTAAACCAAATCGATTGATATGATTGATATGATCAATCGATAATGAATAATCGCAAAAAATGTTTGCAGCAGAATTACACATACTGTCAATTTTTGCGTGCTTTATCGGACCTCGTGTTACAAAATCGCCAACAAAATGTCTGGTTAAAACAGGCCGCATCGACAGTGGGAAATTGCCTTGTGATATCCGATGCCGTTGTAAAAGCGCGGATCCACACTGGTTTCCACCGTTTTATACTAGTCTTATTAATAATAACAATAAAAACACTTTCCATGTTGAAATCGAGCGATGAAATAATCCGCCAATTTAAAGGGCTTCATCCCGAGGAGCTCGCCAATATCCTATCTGAATGACTCAGAAACCCAGGAAAGGGGAGTTAAAATAAAGAAATTCAAGAGGGAGTATGCTCCCTGACTCCCCTAGAAGCTTGCGCCTTCGGCGCTTGTTGAGCTAGGAAATCGGTCAGTATTTATCTGGATCCGTGCCTGAAAAGAGTACTAGAAGTGTTCATTTTCTGCAATGCTTTGAAGTCTTGGGCTCTGATTCCAACCAGGGTCCGCCCAGAATGTACACTGAATCGGCTAGCGGAGTTTACGATACAACTGTTCAGTCCATCCACAATCGATGGCTGAATCCATAAAGTTGGCATCAATTAATCGATTTTATTGAAAATCGATGGTCGCTCGAATCATTACAGAAGTCATCGCTCGATCTCTCATTTCCAATATCAATCGATCAGTTGACATCAATTGACATCGATTGATATCAATTCCATCGATTTTATTGATTAAGCATACCGGGAAAAAAGGGAGATGGAGATTAAAGGCAATGAAAAACATTGAAAGCATAAATGAGAGAAAATTACAGATAATCCCACCACTTACTGGGTAAACTCAGAATCACTTGTTGCGGCGATATGGCTTTGAGCTGCTAACAACCCCACCTTTGCAACAGTAAAAAGCACAATTGCAGTGAAAAGGCCAATGAGACGTTTTTCTGCACATTCACTGCCTCCCACGGCCGCGCATCCTTTGCGATTCATTTCGGTCAATTTATTTTTATCCGTCTTCTTGCTAATATCCAGATCTTTCAAGAAAACACCGATAGCTTGGATGAACTTTACAGTTTTTACTCCATTCGGCAAATTGTCTAAATTTTGCAACATCTGGTACTTGGAGCAGGTCATGATGCAGTCCGAGTCTCCCTTGGCCAGCAGTCCGGCTAGAAATTTAACATCCTTGTGTTCGCAGTCTGCGATTTTCTCCTCGTTACATATCCCAACGAACGTCTCATAAAAATTTAGCTCTAACTGTCTTCTCTCCGCTGGGGTCATCTTTTTGAAGCTCTCAACTTCTTGAACAGGATTTTTGGGTTTGTTTGGAAGCTCAAATTTGCTCAATTCTTCATTCTTTATCTCATGAACATCCGCTTGCAGTTGGGATTTGGTACCCTGTAGGACAGAAAAAAACATACCAAATACATATCATGTCAGTTTAAGTTCAGAAATGTACTAAAACAAACCATAAACTTCGTCCTGTAACGGGAAAGGGATCTAAAATAGACATTTCATTTACATTTTACACAGGTAAGCTCAGTGTGGTCAGAGGAAATTTCCTAAAATAATAATAATAATAATAAAAATAATGATAATAATAATAATAATAATCATTATTATTATTGTTTTATTGAGCCAGTCAAAAGAAATGGAAAAGAAAAAAAAGAGAGGAAAAGAAAATAGAGAAACAGGCTTGAAGAAAAAAAGGCGCGAAATTATTACGGGACGTTTCAGTGCTTCTGAAGAAGGTGAATGAAAGCTGACATTTAAGCTGGTCAGTTCAAAGTGTCATACTGCTCAACACGGAATGAAGAAATAAGGGCCGGAAATGCGTATGGTAATTACCTCTGAAATGTGATATAGACTTGACAATGCCTCAGAAAAGTTTCCGATATCTATTTTAGCAGATTGATTTTAAACGATCTCTCCATTGGGGCTGTAAAAAAAAATTAACAACCAGCAAGTTTGAAAGAAAAAGCGATCAACTCACCCAGTACTTCGATCTTTGAAAATTTGGAGCTGATGAGGGTACCGAAAAGCTACATCAACTACAGCTGACCTTCATCTCTAGCTGCGAGTTTTTTGTGACTCCTCGCTGCTTTGTTGCGGACGACAGGAAGAGCCCGCAGCCTAATCTTGACTTCTTCAGTAGACTGCGAGCAAAGCGCGAGCGAGGAAATCGAGCGAAGCGAGCGAAAGCCGAGGGGAAGCTGGGGAGAAGTCCCTCTTCTTCCCGCCTCTCTCCAGTTTCCCTCTCGGCCAATTCGCTCTCTCCAGTCCTGCCGAGCTTAGACTTGACTGACTGAAGAGGGACTGCTTGCAGTCTACTTCGTCAGCGGCACTTTATTAACTGTGTAGTGAGATTTTTCTCGATGTACGCACATTCCTGACGTTCCCGTGTTCTTCTGACTAATATTCATGATATGTGGCTGCAAAGGCCCTGGTGTTGAGTTTAAGGTCCGAGTGATGTCAAGGTAATCATGTGAATACACGTGCAAGTGATGCAACAATCATTATTACATTCGATTCGCAAGCACACGTAATTCGGGTACACAAGCACTGTACTAAATGTAAGACTTTACTATTCGCTTTGCCTGACCTGGAATCTTTTTACCCGGGGTAATGAAAGTAGAGCCTGATCTCAGCGTAGTGCGGGACAAGTTTTCGGTAAGACTGATATGAGTGTTTGCAAAGTCTACAATCAATGTCAGTTTATTCGGGTTTTACAACAGTGCATGGTTTTCACATATTTATATGTTTCTAAGCATGTTACGTTACGCCACTCGTCATTCGAGCGAAAGCTTGAATAAGCTTTAAACTCTAGTAGTAATTTAAGCTGTTTTATTATTTTCTGTTGCATATCAACGGCCTTTGGCCATTGGAAACGAATTGAATATTCGATTGAATTTAAATAAGATTTCGTGCAGTCATACACTGTAAACATTCATTAATTGTGTCTCGCATAACTGTTTCAATGTATCTTCGCCAGCGAATACAGCCTCGCTCCTTAATATTCGCAGGCTACTTGTGGCTAGGAAAATGTGAATAAAATCGTTGAATTAATTGTTAGTCTTGTTTACTTTGTTGTTGAATCCAGTTTTCACGATAGGCAGTGATATCGTTTTGTTGACCGTGGAACTAAAAGGGCTTACACATTCCAAAAGCGGTTTTCATCAATCACATCTTCGCCCGCATTTCCTAGCCAACTGCTACTGCTAGTTTAGGTAACCGCTTGTTTGTTCAGTTCGTTTTTATTCTGAATCAGTGAGCTTTCATAAGATAAGAACTCAGTACGGGATTAAGAAATTCTACACCATTTTGTTGCGTTAATTTGTGTAGTGTAGCTCTTGGTAGTAGCTCTCAATTTGTGTACGCTAACTTAATAGCGGGACTCCACGCGCGCGAACAGCGCGCAAACGGAGCCCCATAGCCAAGTAAATCTACCCATCCCGGAAAATTTGGTAATCACGTGACCGTACACCGCCCGTCCGTCCGCACTACAGGCAAACCAATGTTCAATCTCATATTTTCTAGCTAGTTTAGAAGCACAGGAAAACTGACAATGCACATATGTTGCACATCAATGTTGCATATGATCAATTGATAGCTGTCAAAACAGGGTATCGCTGACCAGTATCACTTGACCGCATCGCGGGCTCAGGTGTCGCCCCATCGAGGTCAAGTATTTTTTTAAGTTATCCGCTAACAAGTTACGAGTTTTCAAATGATCACAGGCTCAAGTTTGATTTTTTTTAAAAAAATCATATGAAATATGTTGTGTTTATGTGCCGCACAATCAAAATTTGATCTCAAATTGACCTCGGACGCGAAAATTCAGAAAGCTATTGCAGGCAGTCACGCGTTGGTCACGCTCTACGTCCAATTTTTATGCTCTGATTGGTCAAAATTTGACAGGTAAGTTCATGCGGAAAATTGATGCAGCATCTTGAATCTAGCTTGTTTAATTTTACAGCTGAAGCTGACAGAGGTTTGTGTCAACTTGTGATGTTTTTAACTGTCTTTTTCTACAGGATGTACAAAATGAAATTCAGCTGCTATCAGGAGTCTTCTGTTATTCATGGCTAGTTTGTTTATCGGGTTTTTGGTTGAGAAATCCCTCGCTTGTGAAAGTCGGAAATCCAATTTCAGATGGCATAGTTTTAGTTTTTCACCTTGCTTGATGAGTGCAATTTGTATTGCCAAATTGTAAATTACGAAATTCTGTCCGAGGTCTGTATGATAAAAACAGCGCCTTATAGTACTGTTTCACCTCGGATGTAATGTATAAAAAGTCTGAAAGATTGGTTTACCCCCCATAGATTTGTTGGCAAGATTTTGTAAAGTAAACTTGTTGAACGCAAAAAATTCGATTCGGCCTTATTTGTTTTCCAAGCCTAATCTACTGTGATCAAGAGCCATTATGGCTCTTAAAAGTGATCGAGGATGATTGCTTTTTTTTGGGTGTACATTTGTGGCTGTCAACCCGATGTAAAATTTGGTTCACTCTTGCACTGTTTGCAAATTATTTTTCTCTAAAATCACTTAGCCTTTCCCTCAAAAGTCACATGAACGTGCTCTAAAGTTAACTGATTTGTGGAATACAAGTTTATTGTTTGATTTAAATCATAAATTTATTAATGGGAGCCTCGATTTCAACCCTGGCTAAATCTACATATTATAATCTTAGCACAATTTCATTCGCTGCTATTTAAGTATGAGTATTTGAGAAATGACGGGAGTTAACGGGGCCCGGCAACGTCACCAGACATTTTCTTAAAATTGAAATAAGCCCAATTAAACTTTTTTTAACTCCGCCACAGCAAACATTCAAAATCGCCTAGGCTTACAACAGAATGTAGCACAACGAAGAAAAGGCAATATATGATCGCAATTTTATGATAATTTAATATCAGTCCTGTCTTAAAGAATAAGAAACTGCTTCTTTACCTGCACATTTCCCTCCACGGGATTCAAGTACACGAGGACAACACTAATAAATATCCACGATAGCCAGGACATCTGAAAGACAAGTGAGTCATATATAGTGCCTCAGAAATCAACGCATTATAGAGATATATAGAGATAGATAAATAGACACACAAACAACATTTTTACCCTTAAATGAGTAGTCTTGGGTTATAGAAAAAATTTAGCAAAGCAAAAAACTCACTGAAGTGCTTATTGCATCAGCATGGTAAGATTTCAAGTAACATTTCTGAATTAGAAATGTCTATTTTCCCCTAAAATATCTTTTTTTTTCTAAGTACGACTAAAGCCATGAACGAACGTTGATTGTATACTGATATAGTCAGTTATATCTATTTAAATACAGATATAGAATTCTTCTTTTATAATTATTTTTTGTAGTAATTGTTCGCTAAGGGAAATGAAAAAATCCATATGAAGGCGCTATATTAAGAGTAAACTGTAAGAAAGTTCCATTTTTTAATCTCCCCTTCTGTTTTCTCTATAATAGATCTTGAACTAACTAGGCGTGGAAATTTAAATTTTTAGGCGATATTTCATCCATTTTAGCTTGCCAAACCGTGCTAGCAGGAGACATTACTTTTATTGAAATAAGTATTTTGTAGAATGAGGCTCCGGCCTTAAGCCCAGTGCGGTGATGTTCAATTAGTTGTATTTGCCGATTATCGGAAGAGTGTTTTGAAGCCAGTCAGTCACGCTTTTCCAAAAAGAGGATTTAACATATAGTACATGGCAAGACCAAAAAAAGGTAAATTTGGTTTCTCTGAGAAATATTCTCTTCGTCCAAATTTAAGTGAAAAAATCATTGGTTGGTATGCGCCTATGTAACAGTTTAAAATTGAAACTCAATCAGCTTGGTGCTTTTGTGCACCGTGGCGCCATACGATAGGCAGTTTCCCAATGAAATGGTCCTTCTTCATCTGAGTAGATACAGTCTTGAAGCCATATTTGTTGGCGAGGGGTTACACGTTTGTCTCTGATCAGCTTGTTTTTGGAAATTAATGGACCTGGCTTCAAAATATCAATCTTGTGATCGAATATAAGTTTTAAACAAATGGTAGAGTTACTTTTTTGAAATGTGTTAATCAAATCTTCTCACCTTGGCACTGGTAGTTCAGGCGCTGAGGCTCAAGCTTGATAACCGGGTATGAGCTCTGACCGAAGCGTTGTCTCAAGTGGGAACTTTCTCTAAGCGATCTTCTTTTTGTGGCCGGCTCGCGTTGTTCAATCACGAGCACATCAGTGAAGGGTTGAATGAAAGTGACCATAACTGAGGTACACGTAATTTGTTATTGGATTATTAATAACCAAATATTGAGATCACTCTTCGTGATGCCATGAATTACTTCACCGGAGACAAGTGAATTGCACACCAGCTTATTATCCAATTGGGGCATGGCCGGGTTACCAGAAAGAAAGATTATTCAAGTATCCTTTGTTTCAGCGGGAAAAAATGTTGCTCTATCAGTGTCAAATTCTAGTCAGTAGAAGTCGAACGCTCCTAAATTATCCTAATTTGAACTTTTTGGTTTCTTCGACGTTTCTTCGTCTTCTTGGCTTGTCTCGGTTGTATATTGCACTGATAGGATAATTGATCTGTGAATGAAATGAATTACGCTTTTATTGCACGCGGTATACGCATAACAAATTCATTTTGTCCTTTGTCCTTTGTTGTTGGGAAAAGTGATCGCACGAGATTCAATTGTATTGCCATCGAAAGATTGCTTTTTCATTTCTGTAAAGACATAGCATTAATCAAGAAAATATTAAAGAAATTTTGCCAAATTATTCACCGCTGTGTGACGACATCATTCATTCATTCTGTGTTGTATATATATCTGATTGGTTTGCAGCACGACCGCGATAACAGTCGTTTTAACCAGGTAGGAAAACTGTGAAAATCTTTCTAGGCTAGAAATAAAAGAAAAAAAAAACAACAATGAATTAACAAAATATGTAGATTTGTCAGATTTTCACGAAGCAAGGTCAGTATGTTTATTGTTATTAAATGCACTTAAGTGCCTGTGGCTT